ACCAATTGCTTGGCCACCAAGAAGCCCTGATTTAAATCCGATGGATTTTTATGTATGGGGCTTTCTAAAAAACTTAATCTATCGGCCAGGATTGCCAGAGGTGCAAGACGTCAATGAGCTTCGTCAAAGGGTCCACGAGGCTACAGAACAGTTACGAGAAGGTGGTGCTATGAGGCAAGCTTGCCAATCGCTGTTGAGACGCGCACGACTGTGCTTAAACTGCAACGGAGGAAACTTCGAACATTTGCTTTAATAATGTAGTTCCAAAATAAAAAGCTTGAATTAAAGAGTGTTTTATTATTTATTAATGCGATTTTACTTTTTCAATTTTCAATCGTAAACACCCTGTATAACAGATTTTTTGGCAATTACATAACAACAACATCAAAGCAAAAACATTAGTATTCATTGTTTAAAATAGGTACGTTTTTTAAGTCTCCACCCGCATAAAACCCATGACCCTCAAAAGTTTTATCAAAAATTTGAAAAAATTTAAACTTAAATAACTTTTTTGCAATTGATTTTTTTTTTCAAAATTCCAACAAATCTACCATTACTTTATTACCTTACACCGCCGGTTCAATTTTCGACCCCTAGACCGTAAACACCCTGTATATATTTTTGTAGGAAATATTAAAAAAAAAATTTATTCCAAAACAACAAAAAACAGAATGTTATACAAAGCGAAAATTAAAATACAGAAATATGCAACAATTTTGATCATGTGTGTACTTATTCAATTAGTTAACAGATTGCAGTTGGTTGTAAACTTAACATAAAGTTATGTGGACCTGGATTAACATAAAATCTGGTTAATATTTGGTGAAAATTATCAAAATATTTTTTTACTGTTTAGATATTATTGCTGTTTATCAATTTCTGAAGATGAAGGTCAAAATAAGAACTATTCTAAGGCGAAACCATCCTTTTGAAATGTGCAACGGTGATCCACCATACAAAATCCTTCACAAAGCGATACTTTACTGTCAACTCCCATGTTTTATCATTGCTTTCTGTTAACGATACTTTATCATTCTTTAATTAAATATATGATGGTTTGGAAAATTTTCCAGTACTTTCATTGTTAGGTAATAATTCTTACAGAGGAGTGTCAAAACTTTTTTTTTAATATCTTTCTCCTCTTCTAGAAACCATGATACATTTTGATCAGTGGTAGTGATTCCCACGAGACCAACGAGACGAGACTTTCATAAAGTCTTGTCTCGTCTCGCCGATGAAATAAGAAGTATCGTATCAAGTCTCGTCTCGCAGCCTCCAGTCTCGTCTCGTTTCTCGTACGAGAGTCTCGCAAAAGTCTCGAAATCCCTTCATGGATAATTTTGTTTCAGTAAGGGATGAAGTAGGTAAGTATCCCGGATACCTACTTGCTATAATGTAAGGGTGGGAAGAGAAAATTACAACTGTAGATAACATCATCTATTTGAAATATTACTTTTAAATACAACGAAATCTTAACATTTTGTGAATAATTGGAAACAAATCTGCTAACAGCTTTCTGGATCGCAAATATTTTTGTTTTTCACCCAGTCGTTTAGGCATAACAAACATCGTGCAGATTCATTATTAAGGCGATTTTGATGTTTTCTTATAGTTAACGCAGCACGTGAGAACAATCTTTCCGCCGGGACTGAAGTAGCCGGTATGCTTAGGAGATCTTGTGCCATCAAACTAAGAATGGGCAATTCAGAAGAATGAATTTTCCACCATTTTAATATATCTGTGGTTTTATTACACCGGGGCATAGAATAATATTTTTGAAGCTCCTGCATCCATTCTCCTTCGACAGGGCTAGGATTTACTGCATACAAGACATCAAAATCGATTACAAAATCCGACTTTTCTGGTTCAGGATCTTCTTGTCCCTCGACCGCCGTTTTTTTTAAACGTTGTCCCTCTGATTGATGAAAATAAACTTTGTATATATCTTGAAATTTCTGGATTGAACTCAGTTTTAATTCTTGGCCCTATCTTGTCATATCAAATGCTTCTAATTTATGCCGCGGAACGAGAATTAAAACTGCAGCATAAATCCAGTTAGTTTTACGATAATGCTTTAATATTTTGTCTCTCGCAGCCTGAAAACCAACCATAAGCTGCTCTTCAACAGGGGTTCGACGTGCCTTTCCCTCCCATTCAAATATTTTGCTCTCAAGATTATCTATTAGTATATTGATACATACAACCACCATAGGTAAGGTGACGTACTTGTCTCCTCCGAGTTTTTTTGAAAGTATTTGAAAGTTTGCTAATAACGTATGCACTTCTTTTAGCAGTATCCATTCTTTATCCCCAAGAGTGTATGGTTTTAAATCGGCAACATTTTGACACAATACACCAAGTCCATGTATGCCTTTAAGACCTACTTGCAACATATCATTACTGGAATTCCACCGTGTAGGCACATCCAACACAGGTGTCAGTTGCCGTGAATTACCAGTTGCCTCACATGCACTTCGAAACTTAATTAAAAGTTGCTCAGACCGTTTAATTTTTGAAAATATAGAACGTATTTTACTTATTGCATTGTAATTATTTTCAATTTCCTCAACATCAGCTTCCTCATCGACACTATCATCGCTCAATTCTTCATTTGCTTCAGAATTAAGTTTTAGCAATTTTAACAAATCTTGCACAGCCAGATTAATTACATGTGCAAAACATCTAAAATGGCAGTCCTCTACATTTAAATCGGGAATTAGCTCCTGAAGTTCTTTAACAAAAGATGAATTTGCTGAGGCATTATCCATTGTTATTCCTTGAAGTTTGTTGCTTACGCCTTTATCGTCAAGACTTTTAAAAAACGTGAGAGCAATGTCTTTTCCTGTATGTTTTCCATGAGCAGGAACAAAATCTAGGGTGATAGATTGCAATTTCCAATTTTTATCTATAAAATGAGTGGATATTCCATAATAAGATCTGCTGCTGATAGAGGTCCAGCCATCTATAGTAAATGATAATTTTGAAGAATTTTCTGTCACAGGTCCATCATTTTTTTTTGTAAGCAGTCAAATCGAAATATTGCTAATCTTCTCAATTTATTCTGTTTTGGAAAATCCTCTCCAGATAAAAGTCGAAACAATTAATTGTCTTTATTTACTTACACATACATATAGCTAAATTTATGACAGTCAAAGTGGGATGCAAAGGCGGCTCCGGCGGCCCGACAAAAGAAAATGACCGTCAAACGTTTGTTTAATAACACCGCCTGACGATCAAGTCCGCTCGCAGAAATATTTTCCTGCGAGACTCTCGCACGAGACTTCAGAAGTCTCGCTCGAGACTCGAGACGAGACCAATAAAAGTCTCGTCTCGTCTTGTCCGGTCCAAATATCGTCTCGAGTCTCGTCTCGAAAACGAGACGAGACCATGCGAGACTCTCGAAAACGAGACGAGACCATGCGAGACTCTCGAAAACGAGACTCTCGTGGGAATCACTACGAACAGCTTCTTCCATATCGATTCAAAATGTCAAATGGAAAATCTGTGAGGGTACAATATGATATTTATGAAACCTTGCTTGATGGGAAATGCCTCAATACAATCGTCAAAAATAAAGCTTCAAGTAGATGTCCCATATGTTTACGCACTGCACATCAATTTTCAAACCTCGCAGATAATTTTACTGCTTCAGAAGGAAACCTTAAATATGGATTAGGGCTACTACATTGCGAGATAAAAGTATTTGAGCATTTTCTTGGTCTTGGATATCATCAGGACCTTAAGTCATGGGATGTGCGACAACCTGCAAAAGGTAAGAATTTCAATATTTGTATGGCCAATCCTTTTCTTCGATTAAAAAAAGATAGGGAATAAACTTACAAATAATTTTCTAAAAATGATTCTGTACTCCTTTAAGAGAGTGCTTAAAGATTATAAATATCTTTTTCTTTTAAAGTCTTAAATATTGTTTTTTATTTTCAAAATATTTTATACCTATATGAAATGTGCTAAATTAAAAAAATAATTATTTTTGTTTTAGTCGATTTTGAGGAGCGCCAAAGAATTCTCTAATTGAAAAAATTAAGGGATCAAAAAAAAATTCCAAATTTTTGGGCAGTTTTCAACAGGCCGTAACTTCGAGAGAAATGGTCGTACAGGAAATCAATAAAAAGGAAATTGTAGCTCCAAGTGTCTAGTTTTTGGATTCGAACTTCAAAATTTTGTACCCTCCGCGGTTTTTGAGTAATCGTAGAAAAACCAGCAACAGTTTTTTTTTCTGGTCTACGGACGTGGAAAAATTTTTTAGCTTAACCACTATAAGGATCGGATACCTTGTTCATTTAGCTTTAATTTGCTTTTTTATACACCCTGATACGCCCACTTCTCGCCGAGATATCGGTCTTCAAATGGAAAAGGATCCTTTTGTCTTTGATTACACTGTGCGACAATTTTCGGGTCATCGAAATCAAACCGCACCGGACCATTTTTTTCTGAAAATATACCTATCCAATGGCAAAACCCTCGCTGGGTTTGTAAAAGTTAGCTCGAATTTTTTTTTATCGCCGTTTGTATTTTCGAGCTTTATATACCCCAATTTAGACCTATAAATCGATTTTTTTCGCATACATTCGATTTATATTGTCAAGATTTTTTGTAGAAATGTAGATACTGCACAAATAAACCCATTTTGTGAACAACCTTTATCCCAAAAACCCAATTTTTGGGACCAAATATTCAAAAATTATTTTTTTTTAAATTTTTTGATAATATTTAAAATCTCTTGCTACTTTTCTGGCAAACATGTTGTAAAGTATACTAAAAGAAGTAATTTATAAAATAAGCACACAAAACTTAACTTTAAGTTTGATTATTTGCTGGAAAATAATGTTTAAACAAGATTTTCCAAAATATTCATCTTTTCACACTCAACTGAAAAATCTGTAGGAAAAAATTGAATAGATAAAATAGAATTGTAGAAAAGTACAGAGAGTTTTATTTTTTATTTTGTATTAATTTTATTATTAAAAAACTTTTTTATATCAAAACATTGAGTAATCTGATTCATTGCTGAAGAATTCCATCCCTTCCACTTCTTCTCCTTTATTTCCTTGCTCTTCATTTTCATTTTTTGATTCTTCACTGAAGAATTCCATCCCTTCCACTTCTTCTCCTTTATTTTCTTGTTTTTCATTTTTATTTTCTTCCTGATCGTAGTCAAAAATATGTTTACTTCACCAAAATGTTTCGGCTAGTATGGCATCTGGAGCTTGTGTTCCTCTTTATCTAGACTCAAATGGCATCGCAGTTTGATGATTGTGTCGATAACTGTCGACTGAAGTAGTCCAAATGGCGATGAGGGAAATGAATTTTTAGCGACATATTCACTCCAATTTTGGAAAAAAACATCCAACATTCGTCGCAGAGATCCTTCATAATTGGGAGAAGGATGTTTGCCTAAAAGTCCAACGATGATTTCTCTTATCGACGCCCACGCAACTATCTCATTGTCAACCAAGGCCCTGTCAAAGTCTTCATACTTTACCAAATTCCGAATATCAGGCCAATTAAGACGCTTGAAATGAAATGAATATAAAAAATATATGAAATGAAGGGATGGAGTTCTTCATTGATGAATCAAAAAATGAAAATGAAGAACAAGAAAATAAAGGAGAAGTGGAAGGGATGGAATTCTCCAGCAATGTATCAGATTACTCAATGTTTTGATATAAAAAAGTTTTTTAATAATAAAATTAATACAAAATAAAAAATCAAACTCTCTGTACTTTTCTACAATTCTATTCTATCTATTCAATTTTTTTCTTCAGATTTTCCAAAGATTTCGGCAAAAAATTTGGTGTTGAGTATGAAAAGTATGAATATTTTGGAAAATCTTGTTTAAAAATTGTTTTCCAGCAAATAAGTAAACTTAAAGTTCAGTTGTAAATTACTTCTTTTAGTATACTTTACAACATTTTTTCCAGAAGAATCAGAAAGAAATTTTAAATATTATCAAAAAATTGAAAAAAAAATAACTTTTCGAATATTTGGTCCCAAAAATTGGGTTTTGGGATATAGGTTGTTCATAAAATGGGTTTATTTATAACTAACTAAGTAACTACATTTCTACAAAAAATCTTGACGATATAAATCGAATATATGCGAAAAAATCTAAGTCTAAGTCTAAATTGGGGTATGTGAAGCTAGAAAATACAAACGGTCATAAAAAAATAAATCGAGCTAACTTTTACAAACCCAGCGAGGGTTTTGCTATTGGATAGGTATATTTTCAGAAAAAAATAGTCCGGTGCGGTTTAATTTTTGGTGTTGCACAGTGTTATCGATATCTCAGCAACCAATGATCGCACAGAAATTTAATGGTGGGTTTCAAGAACTTGAATAAATTCTCCTTAACGACTGGCCATCGCTTTTCCAAAAAATTTTTTTTTTTCTTTTTGTCACATGAATTTGAAAATGCAACAAAAAAAGGGCTTTTGGTGGTTTTTTGGAAAATCAAGCGCTGGATCGAAAATATTGAGGAAACCACTAATGTTAAGTGTGCCTTCTATAGTTCAATATGTCCACAAAAACCCTACAAAAAACCAAATTAATCCAGCCAGCCGTTTTTTTGTTTCACTCGATCGAATTTTTGAAAAAATTAAAGGATCACGTTTTTTGCTCTGAAAAGCTCATAATTTTTAAAAATGAGAAAAAAATGGTTTTTTTGAGCTTTTCCCGCATTTTTGTTCCAGAAAGTGCTTAAATAAAAAAAAAATTCAAAAATATAAAAAAATTTAAAAAAAAATTTTTGGAAATTTTTTTTTTCTTAACAAGTTAAGGAAATTCAAAAAACCATCGCCCAATCATTTTTATCGCGTTTCCGCCGCTGCATTCCTTGATTCTACTGATCTCCTTTTAATTAAATTTAAAAAAAAAGTTAATAGCCCCAATCGAATTTCGATCTTTTTCATACGCTTTTCGGCGATTGTTTTTTTTTACTTTTCGTGAATCCTTAGCAGATCGCCTAACTCAACAGTTTTTTCCAAAACTAATCCCTTTGCGCTAAAATAAATTTTTTACTTTTTTGATTTTCAATCATGGTTAGACGACATTTATCGGAGGTAGAAGTTGCTCAGTTAGTGACTCTTATTGACGAAGGTTACAGTCAACATGCAGTTGCCATCCGGATGGGTGTAAGTCAATCCGTCGTATCTCGAGCTTATACCAGATACCAAGAGACGAACCAATACAATCGTCGCCCCGGACAAGGTCGCCATCGAGTCACTAATGCCCGCGATGATCGGACAATTGTTAGAGAAGTTCGACGACAACCTTTCGTCAATGCGAATATTGTTGCTCGAAACTTCGCCAATCGTAGACAACAGCAACAACAACAGCGACGACGAAATCAAGTGCGAAACATTTGCTCTCGAACAGTTATCAACCGTCTTCGTGAAACTGGGTTACACGCACGACACCCTAATCGTGTACCCCTGCTGACAGCGAGACATCGTCGAGCTCGTTTAGCGTATGCTAACGATCATCGAAATTGGAACTTGAGGCAATGGACAAATGTTTTATTCACTGACGAGTCTCGTTTCAATCTGCATGGTAACGACCAACGTCCTCTCGTTTGGCGCCGTCGTGGAGAACGTTTTCGCCAGAACTTTGTCCGTCCAGTCGTTGCCTTCGGCGGTGGATCAGTTATGGTGTGGGGCGGCGGTTCACGAAATTGGAGAACACCTTTGGTAATTGTACGGGAGAATTTGACAGATAGACGCTACATCGACCAAATTTTAAGGCCCATTGTTCTGCTCAGACGAGAACATCTGAGATCGTTCATATTGATGCAAGATAACGCACGTCCACACACAGCCAACATTACCAGGCGCTTCTTTGAGCAGCATGACATCACATTGTTGCGACACCCAGCAATGAGTCCAGACCTCAACCCCATAGAGCACGTTTGGGACATAATGGGCCGTCGGTTGCGCAGAGAGTATCCAAATTTGCAGAACTTAGCCGCCTTGGAGCGCGCGCTTCAGCACATTTGGAATACCATTCCGCAGCCTCAAATTACCGTCTGCATTAACATGGCTGAACGTTTGAGAGCCGTTATTGAAAACAGAGGTGGTAATACCCGGTATTAAATAAACAAAAATCTTCGGAGAATGAGTTTGGAGTCATTAAATACGGTGGAACTGACGAGCCACCGGGTCTCAATTCTCCTGAAATACCATACACAGCACACACACACACACACTCACACACACACACACACACACACACAACCACACACACACACACAGAAGCGTAAATCCGACCGCGCGACCTCCACGTGGTACGTTTTGGGTAACGCTAATGCCGGCGGTAATTATTTTATTAAACTTTTCAAGAGAAAAAATTTCGAATTTTTTTTTTTGAATTTTTTTTTTTTGAATTTAAGCACTTTCTGGAACAAAAATGCGGGAAAAGCTCGAAAAAAACCATTTTTTCTCATTTTTAAAAATTATGAGCTTTTCAGAGCAAAAAACGTGATCCTTTAATTTTTTCAAAAATTCGATCGAGTGAAACAAAAAAACGGCTGGCTGGATTAATTTGGTTTTTTGTAGGGTTTTTGTGGACATATTGAACTATAGAAGGCACACTTAACATTAGTGGTTTCCTCAATATTTTCGATCCAGCGCTTGATTTTCCAAAAAACCACCAAAAGCCCTTTTTTTGTTGCATTTTCAAATTCATGTGACAAAAAGAAAAAAAATTTTTTTGGAAAAGCGATGGCCAGTCGTTAAGGAGAATTTATTCAAGTTCTTGAAACCCACCATTAAATTTCTGTGCGATCATTGGTTGCTGAGATATCGATAATCAAAGACAAAAGGATCCTTTTCCATTTGAAGACCGATATCTCGGCGAAAATTTTTCCACGTCCGTAGACAAAAAAAAAACTAAAAAAATTTTGAAATTTTTTTTGTTGCTGGTTTTTCTACGATTACTCAAAAACCGCGAAGGGTACAAAATTTTGAAGTTCGAATCCAAAAACTAGACACTTGGAGCTACAATTTCCTCTTTTTTATTTCCTGTACGACCATTTCTCTCGAAGTTACGGCCTGTTGAAAACTGCCCAAAAATTTGGAATTTTTTTTTGATCCCTTAATTTTTTCCATTAGTGTATATGAAAAACTAAAAGTACGAGTGGATCAAGTACTTCAAGGTCATGGCACAACGAACACAGGAAATGTGGCAAGACGATATTTCCAATCTCATGAGTTATTTGCCAATGCATTTGAAATTGATGTTCAATTAGTAAATGATTTGAGCAAAATAATATTATGCTTTAAATGTAAAGAGGAACTTAAATTAAATAAGCTGGAGAGATTTTGTTTACAAACGTATTGCCGATATTACGAGCTTTATCCATGGGCCCGAATGAGTCCCACAGTCCACAAACTTTTGAAGCATGGATGCGATATTGCTCGACAACTTCCACTTCCTATTGCATATTATGCTGAAGATGCCAACGAATCCTGGCATAAATATTACAAACGCAATATGGTTGAGCACTCTCGGCAGAACAGCAGAGAACACCGCTTACTGGATGTATTTAATCGAGCAGTGTACATGACAGACCCAAAAATATCTTTAATGCTTATAGTCCAATATACAGGAATTTATTAAAACAAAATAGTGTATAATGTAACAATAGCGCCTTTTTTCCTTTTTTGAAAATATTGTTCCTTTTTAACTTAAGCATATTATTTAGTATATTTTATCTTTACACACATGAATGTGTATCTTTCTTTATATATCTTAATTAAATAATAAATAAAAACAAATACTAGGTAATTAGTGATAAATTTACCTACTATTATACAGGGTATTTCATAATATATGCGCAGGACTTCAGGATGTGATAGCTCATCCAAAAAGATGAAAAAAGTCGCTATTAAGTTACGATCTAAAATGCACAATTTTCGAGATACAAGGTGTTGAAATTTTAGAAAAAAAAATCGTTTTTTTCGAATATCTCCGGAACCGTTTATCGTACAAAAAACAGCTTTTGTAAGCATTTTCTACTTAAAATAAGCTATGTTTTGTGCTAGAAAAAAATTTTTTTTCCTCATAATTAGTGGAGATTTTGAAGGGGTAGCGGGTGTTTTTCTCCTCAACTTCTACGCCCCTGAACGGTTTTGAGAGGCTCATTCGAACCGCCAATGTTTTCTACACAAAAAAGGTACTCCTGGTCATAAGCTCTAAAGTTGACCGTTTTCGGGAAAAATCAACTTTTATGTTTAAAAACATGGTCAATTTAAAAAAAAATATTTTTTTTTACTAATTAAACAAAATTTATTTTAACGTTAGGACAAGTAACAAAACCATAATTGCAAAATAAAAAATGATTTAAAAAGTGTCTTTGCTTAATTCTCCAAACCGTAAAGGTAACGCATTTCGCACATTTCAGCATTTGAGTAAAAATTTTTTTTTAATTTTGCAATTATCGTTTGGTTTTGTTACTTTTTCTAACGTTAAAATAAATTTTGTTTAATTAGTAATAAAATTTTTTTTTCAAAAAAGGTTTTTAAACATAAAAGTTGATTTTTCTCGAAAACGGTCAACTTTAGAGCTTATGACCAAGAGTACCTTTTTTCTGTAGAAAACATTGGCGGTTCGAATGGGCCTCTCATAACCGTACTTTTTTCAGGGGCGTTGAAGTTGAGGAGAAAAACACCCGCTACCCCTTCAAAATCTCCACCAATTATGAGTAAAAAAAAATTTTTTCTGGCACAAAACATAGCTTATTATGAGTAGTAAATGCTTACAAAAGCACGATAACCGGTTCCAGAGATAATCTAAAAAAACGATGTTTTTTCTAAAATTTCAACACCCTGTATCTCGAAAATTGTGCATTTTAGAGGGTAAGTTAATAGCGACTTTTTTCATCTTTTTGGATGAGCTATCACATCCTGAAGTCCTGCGCATATATTATGAAACACCCTTGATCGTCACGACCGCAATCTTCGTATAACGCCTCGAGCAGTTTGGTTTTAAGCGAGGTTTGAGTACCGTACATCAAGCTGCACAAATAATCGACGATGTCAAGAATGGCTTTAACGATGGTAAAAACATCGTTATGGCACTTCTTGACATCGAAAAGGCGTTCGACACGGTTTAGCTGGACGGACTCATCCATAAGCTCTCTAGTTTCCATTTCCTTTCCAAACCATCAATCTGTTGATTAACTTACTCTACGGCAGATCTTTCCAGACTGTCGTAAACGGTTCTAAATCGTCGGTTCAGCGTATAGGCGCAGGTGTTCCGCACGGTAAAGTGCTCTACACCATGTATATTGCGGATATGCCGAAAACGCCACAGGCCAATCTTGGATAATACGCTGACGACATCATTCACTTCTTCAGTTGCCAACGATCTTGGATAGAAGAGTTTCGTCCCCCATATTACTTCCCTCAAGTCCAGACTTTCCCAAGCTCTTAAAGCAATATAACCCTTTATCATCAAATACTCTCCTCTGTCAATCGAAAACAAAATTACACTATACAAATCCTGCATCAGACCGGTAATCACATATAGTTGCCCGGTATTGTGCAGTGCACCTAACACCCAATATATAGCTTTGCATCGACTGCAAAATAAAGCGCTTTGGCAATCACCAACTCGGGCAGATATACCTCTATTGACGACATGCACGAAACAGCAAGCCTGCCTTATCTAAAAGAGTACGTCATGGATCAGGCAAACAAATTTTACAGCAAGTAAACTACACCGTCACCCGTTAACACGCCATATAACCACGCTCAGACAACACCACAATGCGCGCTATAAACATGGCTTGATCTATGG